ATAACGAAACGTCGGGCGTCGGCAAGGCAACCCTAAAAACTAAAAAAGCCCTACGATACGAACGATCTCTAATCGACTAATTGCATCCCCTGAGGCCTGAGTGACTGCTGCACCGTGCACGACAGCCGATCCCTCCTCCTCCGTTCATCGAATTCAACCTCCACGCATCCACCAAGGTCCAAGGGGCACGACGGCAGCAGCAGCCCTCATCATCGTTGACTGTTTCCATCATCGTTGGCTCGTTGGTCGTTGCTCTGTTTCCGTCGAAGCCAGTTGTCGAACCTCGTCGTCTCCTTGTCACTTGTCTCATCATCGTTGGCTCGTTGGTCGTTGCTCTGTTTCCGTCGAAGCCAGTCGTCTCCGTCGCTAGCGCAAGCGCCTCCACCCAAGGGAAGAGGACGCATCAGACAGGAGGCATCGTTGCTGTGAGAACGTCACCGTCCCTTCTCCGGCTGTCCGTCCATTTTGGACTTTAGAGGTAACCTGTCACCTGTGTAGCTTTGACTTGTTAGATTTATTGTTTGATTATTTGGCGGTATGCCGGGATCGAATAGTGATTATTGTTTGATTATTGTTTTGTAGTTATTTTGGTTGATTTGTTGTTTGATACTTTGATTAGTGCGAGCAGAGGAGCAGCAGTAGGCTCGTAGGTAGTATAATTCAATTGTCTTACATTTGATTGGATGGAACGTGAGTTGAGCTCTAAGTTTTGAAAAGATTGAGCTCTAAGTTTTGTAGTATAATTCAATTGTTTGAGTTGATTATTAATATTAAGTATTAACTAATAATTATTTTGTTGTTTGCTTTTCATTTTTGCAGGTTTAGAAATTTGAGAAACCAAATACAAAAATGTAAGAGTTAGTTTGCTGTTTGCTTTTCATTTTTGCTTAATAAATAGTTTGCTGTTTGCTTTTTATTTTTGCTTTTCATTAAGTATTACTATTAACTATTTTATTAACTTGAGAAACCAAGTACAAAAATGTAAGAGTTAGTTTGCTGTTTGCTTTTCATTTTTGCTTAATAATTAGTTTGTTGTTTGCTTAATAATTAGTTTGCTGTTTGCTTTTCATTTTTGCTTTTCATTAAGTATTAACTAATTTATTAACTTGAGAAACCAAGTACAAAAATGTAAGAATTAATGTTTATGCCTTTTTTACATGTTGGCAATTTTATGATTTTTAATTGTTTACATTTTTTCTTTTTGTTGTAGGACGAAATATTCTTGTCCTAGTAAAGGAGATGCTCCGAAAAAAAGTGGTTCCATTCCTCCTCGAACCACTTCCAAAAAAGTGGGTGCTCGTGTTGGAGCTGCAGAAGGGATTCAAGTGAATGTCTCATCTAGTACACCTACACCCACCAGTGCCATTACATCTCCACCTGCTACTGCACCTCCTGCAGCTGCCACGCCTACACAGGTGACTGATATGGGAAGGGGAGCAGATGAAGTGGGTGAGGCAAAGAAAAATGTGAAGGTGACTAAAAGGAAGAAGAAGTCCCCGTGGTGGACTCCTTATGATGAGGTTCTAGTGGATGACTACCCATATGGCAAATGCAAACAATGTGGAACGTTGATCAAAGCTCACTCTACCAATAACGGGACTTCTGGTTTGAAGCAACATCACTTGGCATGTGAGAGGAAGAGGAAGGAAGCCATTGGTCAATCACTATTGAACTATCAACCTGGGGATGGTGAGGTAGGCTCTCTAACTCCATGGAAGTTTGATCAACAAAGAGCTAGAACTGCATTAGCTGTTATGATCATCTTGGATGAGCTGCCATTTCGTTTTGTTGAGCATGAAGGGTTTAAGAGATTTATGGCGGTAACCCAACCATTGTTTGTGATACCTGGAAGACAGACAATAAGGCAGGATTGCTATATAATCTTTTTGGAGAAAAAAGAGTTGCTATCTGAGTTCTTCAAATCCAAGTGCAAAAGGAAGAATTTCTATCACCACAGATACATGGACTTCTGATAACAACCAGAATTTCATGTGTGTGACTGCTCATTTCATTGGGAGTGACTGGAAGCGGCAGAAGAGGATCATTAGCTTTGTTCCCATCACTAGTCACATAGGGAAGGACATTGCAGATAAATTGGCAGAATGTCTACAAGATTGGAAAGCACAACAGTTGTTCTCCATTACCATGGATAATGCTTCTTCTAATAATGTTCTTGCAGAGTGTATGAGAACAAAGATGAAAGAGTGGGGAACAGATTTGATTGGTGGGAAGTATTTGCAATTTCGATGTGTGGCACATATAATCAATTTGGTTGTGTCAGATGGGTTGAATGAGGTTGTAGTTGCTGTAGAAAAGGTTCGAGATTGTGTTAAATGGGTGAAGTCATCACCAGGTAGAAGTGCAAAGTTCAAATCTGCCATTGATTATCTATCAATGGATGGAAGAAGACTTCTATCTTTGGATGTTCCAACTAGGTGGAACTCAACTTATTTGATGTTGGAATCTGCAGAAAGGTTTGAGACTGTCTTTAACTTCTTGCATGGAAGCCCCAATGATTCTGCATTTCGGGATTATGTGGACTCAAAGAGAGGTCTTCCAACTAAGGAAGATTGGACCAGTATTCGGCGGCTAATGAAGTATTTGAAGTTCTTTTATGAGCTCACCTTTCGGGTATCAGGTATGTGAACAAACATTACTCTTTTGTGATTCAACTTGTAATTCAACTAATTTGTGAATAATTTGTTGGTATTTTTGGATGTATCAGGAACATCTTATGTGACTACTCATACTTTCTTCAAGGCTATTGCTGACATCTATGAAGTGATAGAACTTTTTAAGAAAGACATGGATGTAGAGATACAACGGATGGCAGCAAGAATGGAGGCAAAGGTACGAAAATATTGGTTTGAGAATGATGATGATGACGAGGTGGAGAACCTAAGGATAAATAGACTGGTTTACATGGCTTGTTTGCTAGATCCTAGGCGTAAAATGGCTTATTTGTATTGGATGTGGGGTAAGATGTATGGGAAGAAGAAAAGAGACGATTTGGTGAAAGATGTGACTGTAGAGATGACTGCAATATTTGAGGTTTACATAATGAAGGATGCACCTCAACCCTCCGAGCCTACTGTTACCACTCCTAGTGCTGATGATGGTACTGGATCTGCATCTTATGGAGGGACATTTGATGCTGAATTCTTCTAGATGAGAAAGGAGCAACTACAGAGGGGGATTCGAGGTTCTTCTGAGCTAGACATCTACTTAAGAGATGTTGATGATGCTATTAACGAGGATGATAATGATATGAAGTTTGACATCTTGCTGTGGTGGAGTAAAAACAGCGTTAGATATCCTATTCTTTCCCAGATGGTTAAGGATATCCTAGCTATTCCAGTCTCCTCTGTTGCCTCAGAGACTGCTTTCAGTTGTGGAGGTCGAGTGCTCAGTCCGTTTAGGTCTTCGTTGAGCCCCACCATTGTAGAGGCCTTGATTTGTGCTGAAGATTGGATAAGGTATGAAGGAGGAAAGAAAGCAGACAAAGTTGATGATACTGAAGATGAAAATCAAGACCAAATCGATTATGAAAGTGGTAAGAATTCTTAATGTCATTTATTTTTAAGTTTTCCATTAGTCTGTTTCTGATTACATATTATTAGATGAAATGTAACAATTTGTATTTACTTTTTACACTTAGTCACTACTAACTTCCAAACTCGAATGGAGAGTGCTACTGCCAAGCCAAGTGAAGGTGTCAAACAAAGTTTACCTGTTGTGGTGGAGGAGGAAGAGGAGGAGGATTCAGACGAGGATGAGGAGGACCAGGACGAGGAGGATAATGGTGATGATAACCTTCGCACCACTTTGAAACAGCAAGGTTTCGTTCATGTTGGTGGTACAGGTCCTAGTGGCAAGTGAGGAGCTAGTAATTCTATTTTTTATCTTCATGTCTTCGAATTTAATTTAAAATTTAGAAGCAGCAGACCAAATTGCTCTATTTGCTCTATGTGGAATTCTACGTACTACGTACAACTATAATGCTATATTTGATCTTATTTTTTAGTATTTTCATTTTTCAATTTGATGTTTGGAATTTACTTGTTAGATTTATTATTTATTTAATTAATTAGCCGACTACCGACCATTGTGATTTGTGGCTTTGTGCCCCAAATTTACAATACTATTGACATTTGATTTGAGTATTTGACAATTGAGTATTGACATTTGGGTAATTGGGTTTTTTTATTATTTTCAATTTGATTTACTATTTTCTATTGACAATTTGACATTGTGGAATTGAAATGTCTCGTTGCCGTTGGTGAACTGAATGCTGATGAAATTGGAAATGGCAAGTGGCGTTTTTTTTTTTTTTGACAAGACAAATTGCAAGTGGCGTTGGTGAATGGTGATGAATGATGAATGATGATGGTACTCGATCGACGGTAGTGCGTGCCTGACGTCATCGATCCGCGTCAATCGAATCGATTACCACGGACTCGATCCACTGTCATTGAGTTTCCCCCATTCGATCCGCGTCATCACTGCTTCGCGGGTTTGGCAATCGAACGGCCTAGATCGCTTCCCGGTACATCGATCTAGGGTGGAGCGCTGCCCATGTCATCGATCCAGGTCTTGTTGTTCGAGTCTTCCATCCTCGATGCACGTGGATCGATGTGTTGGACTCGAGTTTGTTGAACTCGAACCGTGCCAAACTTTGGTAGTTTGTGAATTTTTTATAGAAGTCATGTATTCTGGGAATTATTTTTAATTATTACTGTATTTAGGGAATTAATCCGAGTTGGGTCAGGTTGGGTTCAATGGTTGGGTTGGACTGGCTGACATGGCGAGTTGTGATGACGTGGAGGGTTAGGTTTATTATTTTTTGGGTTAAACCAGGTTGATTAGGTGATTTCGTTTGCCACGTCAACACATAACGGACTTCATTAACAGAATTGGACGGAGACTAACAGAGAGTGACCAAAAATGGATCGTTTTACTAATTTGAATGATCAACATAGGAATTAAATATTTCAAGTAACTAAACATGAAACTTTTTAGTAAACCCAATGACCAAACATGCAATTAACCCAAGCATACTTTACAAAATAAAACTGTAATCAGTGTCTGACAAGAATAGTACAAGATCATGTACAATCCAGAGAGTTCAACCAGAGGAATATGTAAGGGTGTAACAACCAGGAGAGAACGAAACAAATGTATAAGAAAAATGTATGTGGGGTTCTTTTCGCCTACATATCTTCACATGCTGGTGCTAGATGGACTTCGTCTACAGAAACCTTTTTTTTCCAAGATCATCATTGGTTCCCATGGCGCTTTGCTAGCTGGTCTGGCAATCTAGATGGGATGGGGGACTGCTCCTTGAAGATTTTTCACTGCGCTCTCATAGTTTACAAAACCCATCAACCAAAACTCATGGTTGTCGATAGAGATTATCTGGATGTACTTCTCGGATGAGTTGATCTTGCTAATTGATGGATTAACAGCCTTCAGTTGATGCAATGGGATAACAACCTACCAGCAGAAAACAAGGATTAAACATGATGCAGACAGCAAAACAAACATCCCTTACCAGTAATGTTGGAATGCCATGATAGAAATGTTAAGTATCAGGCAATGGGTACTACAATCTCAAAATTTTATAGTGGAGTGCCAATCACAGAAACAAATGCTAATCAGGCGAAGAGAGGAGGGGAAGAGGGAAATATGACCCTGCATACTGTGCCAACAACTGATAACGTTTAAGGTTACGGTCACATTTTCAAATTTCAAGGAAGAAAGCCTTCCCTGAACCCTTCCAATTCTAACAAATGTGAACTCCCCATACTGCCATACATATGATGATCCTTACCACCCATAAAAGATGAGGAAAATGAAGTTGGTGAACTTAAACTTCTGAGTCATTGGATTAGTGAAGTATCTTAATACGTTAAGCAACTCCTTCTCCGAGTAATATACAGGGCATGAAGTTCGAAAAGAAGCTAATATGATGTCATTACAGTATTGGCTCAGAGAAGCTTGTAACTTTGCCTGGAATTCAAGCCTCAACGTATTACTATAGACTATGGAGAATAGAAGCATAAGGGTTTTAGAAAGAAGAATCCATTTCTAAACACCAAACTGGCATTGTGATCAATTCCTTAGCAGGTCAAGGCATCCTTATATTACATGAAACCACAAAGAAAGCAGTGCAAATTTGAACAATCAGCATAATCCCTGACCAGCCAGTTTAAAACTGAATGCCCAACATGAAATCCACCAACAGGCAATAACGACGGAGCGAAGAAAGTAACCAAGCAGTGAGAGAGGGTTTCTTGAGGGTAGTACCTTGTAATAGCTCCATTGAGTTTGATCACCAACTTGGTACGATAAAGGATTGTCGCTACAAAATGCAAGCTTTGCGGTAGACAAGTATAAAGTCCCCATGACAGGGCCAGCCGAGGTGGATAGGTAGCAGGCATATGTCTTGGTGAGCTGCTCATCGGGAAGACCCTCAAACGTTTGTTTGAAAACCTTCTCGTAACCACCCTCAGCAAGCACCTTGGTGGATTGAGCAATCCTTCCGACGGCAGCGTCAGCAAAGCTAGGGCCCGTCTTCACTAAACAAAGGCCATGGCCAAGTTAGCAATCAAGAAGATGATCTTGGGCAAAAACATCAAATCCACAAGATTATCTATATTAAGCTTGGAAATGAATTCGTGTGAATTCTACATAATCTCCAATTCATTTAAAATGATGACTAAACATAGAGTAGAAAGGTAATTACGGTGTTGCCAGACGTTGCCAGCAAGATCCTCGGCCTTCTTGCCCGCCTCAGCCGCCTTCTTCCCCCATTTCCCTAGAACGTCTTTCATCGCATCCATCTTGTCTGCCAAACACCAGCGTAAAAAATCTCAAATTCAATTCAATTCAATAACAAGTTGAAACAGAAAAGGGGAAAGCAAGAAAGAGAGAAACCCACTCTTGGAGACCGGGGCAGGGGAGACGTAAGGATTGGACTCGGCCGGCATAGTAGTAGCAGCGTCGCCGGGGATGGGAGAAGGACCGGGAGGAGCAGGGTGAGAAGCAGCCGACGACAGCGGAGGAGGAGGAGCAGCAGCAGCAGCGGAGCCGCCGGTCATGGAAACGTCAGCCCAGTTCTCGGGAGGGGGTGCGACGTCTTTAGGATCGAGCTTTGGGTAGGGGGCGTAGTCGGGGGTCTTGGATTCTGCTGAAGGAGAAGGAGCTGCTTTATCAACGTGCTTCGGTTGCTGATTGTCGGTCATGGTGGTTATTAGGATTCAAGTAGAAGGTTTGGATTTTGGCGTGAAATCGGCAAGAACGAGAATTCAGTTGGTAGTGTTTTTTGGGTTCTCGACTTCTCGTCCAGATCTGAAGGCGGAGGGAGGGAGGGAGAGAATTTAGCGGAGACAGCGGACAAATAGCGATAGAGAGAGAAGAAGAAGAAGAAGAAGAAAGCGGATTGATTTGGATTTGGATTTGGATTTGGATTTGGACTTCCAATCAACGAACGAACGATCGTAAGCACGGATTTAGTTTTGCTTTAGGGGTCGTTTGATTCAAGGATTATAAAATGAGGGTTTTCACTTAAATGTGGGATTTAAAAACCTAAGGTTTTATTTGGGATTTGGGGCATTTTGGATTTGGAAAAATCCTTTGTTTGTTTCTTCATTTTGATCATGAATTTAATAATTTGGGATTTAGAAATAAAGAATTGCATTTACCTTATTGCCCTTTTTAGAAATGAAGAACTGCTATGCGTTTCCCCTTTCTTTCCTTGTTAATAACATTCAAATTCAGCTCAAGTACTACGCAATGTTAACATTCACTTCAAACCAACAGAACAGTGATCCACAAGGATATGAAAACTAACAGCAACCCAGCGAAGCTTGATTCAGAGTTAAAGAAAAGCAGCGAACTTTACACACAGATCAAACAAAAATGCCTGCAAATCAGAAGCTTGAATCGACTGAGTCTCTCAAATGTAGATAGAAAGGAGTAGTGCGCAGTGCGTAGCTTACCTGGAGAATGGGAAATGGCGATTCGAGGAGGAGAAAAAGTAAAAGATCCAGGGTTTCGAGATGGGATTTGAGAGAAGCGGGTGAAAGAAATTTTAGGAAATTACAGTGTGGAAGGAGGGCATTGGGACGATGACAATAAACAAGGTGGTGGTGGGTGGACCAAAGTTCAAATCTTTAGAAACCATTCTTCCTTCCCCCTCTCGCTTTCCATCTTTATCATCGACGTTCAGCGCTCTATTTCTCTCTCTCTCTCTCTGGCTCCCGTTGGAGGTTGACGCCGTCGGAGCTTGATGCAGTCAGAGTTTGATGTCGGCTGCAATTTTCCAGGAAGGGAAGTACTCTTCTACAGGTTTGGTGAGAAGGAATAGGAAGCGGCAGATATGGTGGATGTGAAGAGGGCAATTTTGGTTTAATAAAAAAGAATGAGGATAGGAGTGTCATTTGGCCTCTTGGTTTTTCAGCCCATCACCAATTCCCTAATAATCATGTGGGATTTGTAAAGCTGTGGGCCCCACGGATTTGGAGTGAAAAAAAAACCTAAATCTATGGGGCCCACGGATTTGTTTCAACATTTTTGGACCAAGCAAACAAAGGATTGTGCTTAAATCCTTAATAGTTGGTTTTTTGGTACCAAATCCATGATGCAAATCCTTGAAGCAAACGACCCCTTAGTTTTGAACAGCTGTCTGCCTGTCGCGGTTATTTGCTTTAATAAGGGGATAATTGACTAATAATTGTTTGTTTATTCGTTTATACTTTTCTTAACTCGTAAGAGCTCTCGACTACACCGCGTCGCCGACGCCGAGGAGAAGAGGAATTGTAATCGTCGTTTGGGCCAGTGGTGGAGCCCGCCCGGTGGTTACTCTCTCAAAGCGCGAAACATTGAAAACGGTAATGAAAGAAGCAGCAGATCATGTAAAGGCCCAATGTTTTTCATTGGGCTTCTGCGCCCCATTCCATTCCATTCCCGAATGTCCCTCTCTCTGTTTATAGCATGGGCCCGTTTATCATCTTAACCTGTTGGCTGTTGCATTGCATTACTTTCTTCGGCATGGGGCATGGGGCATGGGCGCAGCGCATTGCTCTCTACTCTTCTGATCTTTTCCCCATCCTATCCTACCAATATTATATAGAAAAAAAATCGAAAACTACCACTGTTTAAAAAATTTATACAAAAATACCACTCATTCTCAACAATTTTCAAAAATACCACCGTTTATTAAAAACTGCGCCTCTAATGGGCGGTTGATATATAAACCGCGCCACCAGGCAGCGGTTTACATCATAAACGCCTGGTCAATAGGCGGTTTTTAATTTCAGGTAAAACCGCTCCTCGAAGGCGCGGTTTATATATTAACCCTACCACAAAACGCTTCGTGAGGAAGCGTTTAAATGTCGGCTTGGTAAACCGCACCACCAGGCAGCGGTTTATCATGTGCAGACATAAACCGCGCTCCCCAATGGCGGTTTGTGCAAAGTAAACCGCTGCCCCAAGGCGCGGTTTTAGGGATGGCAACAAAACCCAAACCCACGGGTACCCACCCGACCCAACCCGGTCAACGCGGGTAAAATCCGTGTTGACGGGTTTTGGATCGGGTTCGGGTTTAAACCCGTTACACTATTCACCGGGTTGGGTTTGGGTTTAGGTAAACCCGCCCCATGGGTACCCGCCCACACACATATAATTATTTTCCCGGTATATTTAATATTTTAAATAATATATCTTCATTAAACAATTAATATTCTTTATGTTTGTGGAGACATGTATAAAGTATAATTTGTTCTTTCTAATTGTTTAGAATGAAGTTGATATTATGGAGTGGAGAGTGAAGAAACTTAGTTGACGAGGAAGAAACTTTTAATTAATCTTGTGGTTTATAGATGTTTATCTTTAATTTTGAACAATTTGTATTGATCATTTGCGGTTTGCTTGTATGCTCTAGATTAGTGTTTTTTGTATGAATAATTTGTATGAGAAAATTTATGTTAAACTTTTATTTTGAAAGAAACTTGTTATTGTAAATTTTTTACCACAAAAACCCACGGGTACCCATGAACCCGCGGATACCCAGCGGGTTGGGTTGGGTTTGAGTTTTTTAAACCCAGCGGGTTTTTTTGGCAGATAAACCGATGGGTTTGGGTTTGACAAAACCCGCCCCAACCCGACCCATTGCCATCCCTACGCGGTTTGTGTCTGGTCACCCGACATCCAACATGTCGGCATGCAGGGGGTGGGGCTGCATGGCAGACCTAAAACCGCTCCCCCCCCCCCCCCCCCTGGCGGTTTGTACTGCAAAATTCGCCTATAAAAGGCTGTTTCAGAGAACTCAAAACTCTTCACTCCTCAAAATCTTCACACTCCTCCTCCACCTCCTTCAAATTTCAGTTGTGCACCTATAAATTATTTAGTTTTTGCGATTAACATTAATTCGTAAGTTTGTTTTGTATTACTTTTCATTGTCCTTTGTGATTTTATGTTAGTAACTTAATTAAAGTTTTATTGCATATGGCATTCCAAAGGTTCACGCTTGGGTTGCGGTGGAATGGTTACAGGGAAGAGATCGAAAAGGGTGTAAGTTACGTCGGTGGCAATTTTTATAAAATGAAGGTTCGTACGAGACTGATGCTTGAAGAGCTCCATCAAATGTGCACTCAGATTACCTGCATGGATGGCACTAGAAGAGTTGATCAAAATGGCGTATCGATATCCAAACAGACATGACGGGTCGCTGTGAAATGAGGAATTCCTCCTTACCACGCAGATAACATCACCATCGATGGGCAAATCGGTTAGGATGGCGATGTCCTTAAGTGTGATGGTGCACTCGCCTTCACGAAAATTGAAGCAGTGTGTCTCCTTTCGCCATCTCTCTACCAATGTTGTGATGAGTTGGCGGTCGATCTTGATTCCATTAAAGTGCCTAATCGAATCCAATCTTGCCCTTTTTGGAGCAAGATGACATCGTTCCATTCAAGCACATTCGTCGTGCCCCTATAGCGGACTATATGGTATGCATCCTAGAGAAGAATTTAACTTTCACTATAAGTTGATGATTTATACATATATATAAATATATTATAAGATGCAATATTAATTAAATCAAGGTTGTTTTAGAGAAATATACATTATCTAATAAACATTAATTTTAACATAACTAAAATAATTTTCAAAATTTAAGTACAATTATTTTTTGTACACATACACATAAAATCAAATATATTATTTTGTTAATCGTATTAATTATTTTCAATAATTTAAAGCAATACAAGTACACTCGTAAGACTCTTAGGAGAGGTATACATCACCTTAGAAACACAGTCTTTTTGACAGGAAAAGGGGGGATCCGAGGATCGCTTAGAACCCGATTTTCCCAAGTCATAGGGGGATCATGATGATCTCTTAAGTCCCCATTTCCTTAGACATGCATTTTTTTATAAAGAGTCTAAATAAGTGTTGTATTGTATTGATTTAAATTATTGAAAATAATCAATACGATTAACAATTAAGTAAATTATTGTACAAACAAATAAATTACTTTAACAAAATACAAATTACAAGTGCTGATAAATAATATGTACCTTGTGGTCGTTCCAAACGTCTCTTGAACGATGATTGGCTTGATCATATAAAATAGTCGGATCAATCGGTCATTGATCAACATAATATCATTGATTGCATATATTAACATCCAGCCCAACCTACGATAGCATAACAACAACATAAATCAATTAGTATATAAATTAAATAAATCATTACAACAACAACAACGACAATTGGGTAAAATGAGTACGTACCGCTTGATAATCATCATAGTAAAAACCCTCTTCTTGGATAAAATCATCCATTTTTTCAGAATCCGGACAGAGATTTGACGGTTTTTTAGTGAAAACCAAAGAAAAAGTTTTTTGAAGGCAGATCGAACTTAGCCGCAAACCAACAAAACAACTAATTCTAAGGTTTTTGGGTGGGGATGGGGGTGGGTAGAGTGAGGAATTAGAGAGAGGGGGGGGGGGGGGGGGGGGGGAATGAAGTTTGGTGTCGAGAAAATGGGAGGGGGTAAGGGGTTTATATAGGGACAAAACCGCGTGCTGGAGGAGCGGTTTTGTCTTTTTACCCACCTAAAACCGCGCCTCGAGGAACGGTTTGACTGAGCGACGCGGATCGCTGAGCTGACGCGCGGTTTGGCCGTCAGATCGCTTCCCCATCGCGCAGTCACATGAGCCGCCATGTGGCAACACAGTTTGACAGACAGGAATGGTCTAACCGCCTATGGAACGCGCGTTTGACTGTGAACCGCGCCTTGAGGCACTTTTTGATTTATAACCGCGCCTTTGAGGCGCGTTTTGTGTGGAATGGTGGTATTTTTGGAAATTGTTGAGTATGGGTGGTATTTTTGTAATTTTTTTTTATAGTCGTAGTTTTGGATTTTTTTCGAGTCTGGATCCAGTGACTAAGGGGGGGTGCTTAGTCACTTGACTAAGCCCCTCCCAGCCCTTAGATCTGGATATAGCAATCTGATGGTTAAAAAGTGGGAAGGGCTATTTAATTAATGACAGGGGTAGTTTGGGTATTATGGAAAATTATGAAATATACAAACCGGACTTACAATCAGTACAAACCATACAAACATACGAACAGTACAAATTAGAGCGACAAAACATACAAACATATTTACAAACATATGAACTGTACAAAAAATACAAACTAGACCGACAAACAATACAAACCATACAAAAAGAAAAAACAACCAGGTTGACTTTGGAGGCTCCATCCCTATATAGAGGGGCTCCTTCCCAAAGTCAACCCGGGTGTTTTTTAGACATACAAACATGGTGGACAAAAATGACAAACTCGACCAAAAATTCATACAAACTGGAAAAACACTCGGGTTGACTTTGGAGGCTTCATCCCTATATAGAGGGCTCTGTCTCAAAGTCAACCCGGTTGTTTTTTAGAGATACAAACATTACGAACATGGTGGACAAAAATGACAAACTAGACCGACAATCCATACAAACTGAAAAAAAAACCCGGGTTGACTTTGGAGGCTCCATCCCTATAGAGAGGAGTTCCATCCAAAAGTCAACTAGGTTGTTTTTTAGACATAAAAAACATTACAAACATGGTTGACAAAAATAACAAAGCTTACAAACATTACAAATGAAATCGACAAACATTACAAAATAACAAAGCGTACAAACATTACAACATAAACCGACAAACAGTACGAAGCATACTAAACGTACAAAATGTCACTAAAAATGACAAACAAGAATAATAAACAATACAAACCGAATCGATACAAACATTACAAACCTTACTTACAAACATTACAAAATATGTCAACAAACATCATAAAACCCACACTGTCGCCGAGAAATCCTTCTCCGACGTCGCTGGTCGCTGGAAAATCCTCTCTCTCCCTCTCCTTCACTTTGTCATTATCGCCGCTCAATTGGGCAATCCCGCTGTAGCTTCTATAAAACACTTCCCAGTTCCCATTTCTCCCCATCTTCACTCTCCCCACTCATCAATCAACCTTCAATCCCGCCTCTGTTTGATCGCCCAATTAAATTCACAATGGATCCCAATCCCAAATCCTTCTCGATTCTCTACTACGTCATGCAGCGCCTGCCGTCGATCAGCCCCAAAGCTCCTGCTACTGCTCCTCCTCCGGTCGCCGCCTTCGACGTCGAGCAACCGCCGCCACCCCGCTCTCCCTTCGATCCTTCCTCCTCCTCTTCCCCTTCCTCGTCTCCCTCCGGCCAGACTCACCTCCTCTCCGTGATGCCCAATCTCAAAGTGCCGGTAATTGCGTCGCGACGGGAAGATGACGTCAACGGGTGCAGGTCCACTAGTGCTGCCGCAGGAGAATAAAGTCCCACAAAGTGCCGGTAGTTGCGTCGGGAAGATGACTTCGACGGGTGCAGGTCCGCCTATTTTTATTTTTAATTGGTAAATAATTAAATCGTGTAATTACTTTACCACCCTTCATTAAATGAGATCAATTAGAGCCCTTGGATTTAATGAGGTTGAGTGGCTGAGATTCACTTAGCCATGTGATTAAGGGGACCCCCCTTAGTCACCTGATCTTGGCCCAATTTTTTCCTATTTATATGGTGGTTCTTGGCCGGAGACCCTTTAATCCTTCTTTTCTTGCTCTATGCGCAATCCACGGAAGGAGATCTTCGTAAATATATCGTTGCATTTACTGCCGAACTGGCCAGGCCCATCCTTCTTTCCATTGCAAACTTGGGACACGGAGGTTACAAAAATTTGGGCGGCTGTTAGGTAGTTCCGAAGCCGAATTCCAAACACAATAAACAAAAACCAAAACCAAAAAATAACAAATAACAAAACCATTTATTTATGATTTATTCCATGAATATGAGATTTAAATCTACATACATTGTCTTGAAATATGTTATATATGTATCAATTCATTTGACGTTAATGTATTTCACATTTGTACATATAGTTTATTAAATCAACATACAAACCGATATGACCGGCATGATAAATTTACGGCTTTGAAATAAATGATGTTGTTTTAGTAAATGTTGTTAACAAAAAAATTTATTTACAATTTATTGCATGAATATGATATTTATATGTACATACATTAGAAATCTTGTACATTTGCCTACGTGTTATGAGTTTGATGTTGAACAACTCAAAATGGGAGTAATTTTAGAATTTGGTTCCCTAGTAAAGGGTTTGTCGTTGTTTTTTTGTAACTTAATTATGTTCGATGAGTCGGTTAGGATGTTCTAGAATACTATATTATGTTCATATTTTAAATGGTTTAAGTACTTTAATAATTTGGATTCTTTAACGCTACCAAGAAATTTACATATCGATAATTTCATTTGCGAATCGTGGGCCCGGCCGGTTGGCCGATTTATTTTTTGAATCGCGTAAATAGTAAATATGTAGCAATTTCAGGTTCATTTGCGAATCGTGTAAATACAAAATAGGAGTAGCATGAGTTCCACATGTTTTGTTTGTTTACAAAAATATAGATCACTGAAATTACCGATATGTAAATTTCTCGGTAGCGTAAATGAATCCAAATTATTAAATTACTTAAACCATTTAAAATACGAACATCATATAGTATTCTGGGACACCCTAACCGGCCCATCGAACATAACTAATTTACAAAAAAAACAACGACAAACCCTTTACCAGGGATTTGAATTCTAAAATTACTCCCATTATGGTTTGTTCAACATCAAACTCATAACACGCCGGTTATATGGTGAGTAAATGTTTAAGAACTTCACCTTGGCCCAAAATTAATTACTTCTGGAATTATTGGATTCACGAATAGTAAGGTCGCTCCTAAAGAAGTGAAATTAATTTTATCTGCAAATTTAATAGTCTTTTGATTAAATGTCTGTTAGTTAGTGCCAATGTGTGATCAATGAAAATAAGCTAATTAAGATGTCGCCTTACTGTTGTATGAAACGATGCATAGGGAAATACTGACCAGGATAAAAGGTCAATTTTCGGCATTTTCAAGGATTGAATTTAGTTGGGCGACTATCCTACCAAAGAGACTTGACGACCTATCCCCTATAGTTAAATTTCAAGTTAGATTTAAGAAAATTCATGATATTTAAAATTAAGAATAAAATGAGTTACATACTTATGAAGTTTTAGTTGGATATCAACAAATCCGAATACTGAATAAGTTGGCCGACGACATCTGTGTAACAAATAATTGATGAAAGTATCAATATGCAATCCCAATGGATATCGGAACTGACAACTCAAAAGAGGTTCGGGGCTATTCAATGTCGCATTTCGAGGAAGTGGTTGGCAGTCAATCCCAACATCGATGCTATTCTTCGGAATGATAGTCATTGACTCAAAAGTAAAATAACTGCAGCCATGCAAATTCCAACTCTATGATTAAAGCTTCACAATATGATTGTTAATACGGTTATATTGCTTCTTCAGGGCAATGATATTTGGGTGCAAATTCCCAAAGGCCAAATCAAGGACTTCCAACCCCTCTTTCAGGACCAAAGAGTCTACACTATTAATAACTTTAAGGTCAATATGACAACATGAGACTACATGCCAATTTCAAACAGATTCATAATCAAGTTCCAGTCAAACACCTAGGGCCAAGCTTACGATGACATTCCATCCATCCCGGCTTACAAGTTCTATTTCATCAAACAAGATGAGATTGCCAAGAAGTGCAACCAAAGGAAATATCTATGTGGTTCAAAATACCATTCTCAATGCAAATTTCAAATTTATGCATATACAACACAAATTACTAACTTTCAAATGTTTCCATTCCACAAATGCTAATTGAAAAAATTCATATACTTTAAACACTTAATTAACTTACAGTCACATTAGCAGGAGAGAACACCTTCTCTTCAAGCAGAGCGACCTTGCTGCTGCGAATCCAAAAATTCCTAAAGTCATTAACTTTAAGCCATTGTAAAATCACGACATCTCTATCATCGTATTGGGATGCATTATAAGTTAGAAGTTTAAAACATAATAAGAGATTCATTACCTATCTTTTTGGTGAATAAAGTGGCGGTGATGCGCCAACTCCACCGGTGAAGGAAACAGAAAAACTGCAAAAGTTAATTCCAATCAAAATATTACATGAGCTTAATATATTGAAGATGAATGATGGAGAGGTGGTCAGTATTAGTTTTGATTTAGCAACTTAATGACTATCAAATGCTGACACTAGATATAATATGCAGGGGAATATGTATTCCGCCATATGCAAAGTTGTCAAGGTTAATAATGGGTGGTGCTATGCTGGATGTGAAATATGTCCACAAAACTCGAAAAAAATTCATAGGAGTACTTTTGTGGGAATCGTACGAGGACATTAAGGACCATAACAACCCGGTAATTCGATAATTGTTAATGTCAATTTGAGTTTCATGTATTTATTCCTTAAGATACGGGCAATGTGGTTGGAGTTTTATATTCCTTTTTTATTTCATAGATATATCAATGTGGTTGGAGATTTAATTTACTGCAACATAATTTGTATTCCTTTTTTATTTCATGCATAAATTACAACTAGCTTTTACCCGACCCATTGGTCGGATCAATTTCATTTTATTTCGTATAATTTATTTTATCAATATTTATGATTTATTTGATTTGGGATCTTTAATTTATATGATTCACGAAAAATATTCGTGGTTTTAAGAGTTGACAATGACGTAAAAAGATAGTCCAAGCTATTATATTGACCAAAATCTCAAATATTTGAAGTATTTATTTGGAATTTTTATTAAATAAAACACTTGTTGATTCAAATATACAATCGTCTGTGAAAATGGGATTTTATGAAAAAAGATTCATGATTTTAGAAAGAAAGAAAACCAATTTGATATTCAATAACAAATGTGAACATCGTTTAGATCATATATTTCAGTTATGTATTTGGTATCTAAATTCAACACATGCGAGATTTGTTGGCCCCCATTAATTTCGAATAAGTGACATCCATAAATTAGATTTGCAAATCGAGCATTGAAAGTGACCGATGCGAAAGACATAAAAATAAAGAAAACAGTAAAACCATCCAAATAACAAACCTGGGAGGAATTATCATGGTGCCATATTATCCAACATACAATACATTATTAGTAGTTGATTAAAAAGATGTCATCTTCAAGATTCTCTGGCAATCTCATGCTTTATTGATTAAAATGTGATTCCCAATATGATAAATCTGTATGTGACCTGGCCACTATTATCTTTTCCCCTATGTTGGTCCTTGCAATTAACGACCCATAACCATATGAGCTAGCATGTGGCATAGTTATAAGGTATATGCACAAAAGTGAATTATATTAAAATGTCCAATGGATCAGGAAGTAAACATTAATAACCCACTTATCAATCATCCATATCAAAACATAACATAGTCATCAAAGTAACTGTTGTTTCAAGAATATGTTATCACCAACATAAACAATGCCGTGTGAGAATGAGGATGAATGGTAAGCTATTTTCGTACAATTATATGATGTTGCATTGAAAACAAATTGTCATGTCCCCATCCATCTTGTAATGAAATCCTAGCCTGAGTCATCTACTAAAACAACGGCTTTCACCATCAACAGCAGCTACATGAAGAAAAGAAAGGGGGCTTCAAGTAATTAGTATATGCTAGCATTAGGAATGTTTAAACTTTCACTAATTGTTCTTGCTTCTAATTTTAAAAAAATATAGCAGCGTTACCAAAGAATGCATTAGCAAAATATGACGGGGAACTAATCAAGAGCACACACAAAAATTCATGATCCCAAAACGACAACTTAACCAAGAACCCCACCCACTGAAGACAAATTTCAAAATATTTAAACACATACAGATATGCAAAGCGATTATCCTCTAATAGGTTCATTTTATAGTTATTATTTCCTTCCCTTCATTTATGTCATTATCTAGATGATTTCATATTTCATTATTTGGGTACTTTTTAATTCTCAAATATTGATTTGATTCAAAGAGCACTTTAGCTAATGCACTTCATTTATAGCCTTAGCATCCTTTAATTATTGGGAACTCCGTTTAGATAATATCACACAATAAGTACTTGCTATCAAAACTATGCATGTGGCTTAATAAACCCCTCAATGCAACCCCTTAACTTACGTGACTAAAGAAGCAACAAATGACGGTCATATTTCTTAATCCCAGAAGACATTCGCTACCCACATATTAGATGTCTATCGTAGATAAATGAAATTTACTTCGTAGTGTTCGCAATTTGATGGTATTCAACCTTAAACGGGAAGTGATAGCGAAAGCAGTGGTTGTACTACTTTTTAGACATCATATGCAACAACTCCTTTCCCTCCCTTTGAGGACAATCACAACATATATCTATGCTCCTA